CAGCGAAGGACTGGCGCATTCATCACCTAGACGTTAAATCGGCCTTCCTCAACGGCGAGCTAGCGGAGACTGTCTACGCCAAGCAAGCCTCGGGCTTCGCCGTCAAGGGAGAAGAGCACAAGGTGTTGCGGATGCGGAAGGCACTCTATGGGCTGCGACAATCCCCGCGAGCGTGGAACACAAAGCTCGATGCCTTACGCTTGGCTTCTCGCGCTGCGCGACAGAACACGCGCTCTACACGCGACGACGGGGAAGGAGGAACTCGTCATCGGCGTGTATGTGGATGACTTGATCATCACCGGGGCAAGAGAAGAGGACATCAACGGCTTCAAGCGCGAGATGGCAGCTTGTTTCCGCATGAGCGATCTCGGGCAGCTCTCCTACTACCTCGGCATCGAGGTGAAGCAGGGGAGAGACTCCCTCACTCTCTACAAGCGTGCATATGCAGGGAAGCTATTGGAGCGGAGCGGCATGACTGGCTGCAAGTCATGCGCGACTCCGATGGAGTAGCGGCTGAAGCTGACGAAAGCCAACACCGCGGGGAAGGTGGATGCAACACTCTACCGGAGTAACGTCGGCGGGCTGCGCTACCTAGTTCACACGAGGCCAGATATCGCCTTCACTGTGGGCTATGTCAACCGCTTCATGGAGGACCCTCGAGAGGATCACTGGGCTGCGGTAAAGCGGCTATTGCGCTATGTCAAGGGGACGGTGGACCAGGGTATCTTTCCCAAGACCGGCGGCGGAAGTGGGCTGCGACTCACGGTTTTCAGCGATGCAGACATGGCAGGCGACATTGATGGGCGGAAGAGCACCTCCAGTGTGCTCGTCTTCCTTGGGTCGGCCTCAATCGCATGGCAGTCGCTGAAACAGAAGATCGTGGCGTTGTCTACGTGCGAGGCGGAGTACGTGGCGGCAGCCACAACGGCGTGCCAGGCGGTCTGGCTGCGTCGGTTGCTGGGAGAGCTGACCGGCGAGAAAGCTCGTCCACCAGCTCTGATGGTGGACAACCAGCCCGCCATTGCCCTTGCAAAAAATCCAGTCCTCCATGACCGGAGCAAGCACATCGATACCCGTTTTCACTTCATCCGTGATTGTATCGATGAAGGACATATTGTTTTGGAGTTTGTCGAATCCGGACGGCAACTCGCAGACATCCTTACCAAACCACTCGGCCGTCTTCGGTTCATGGAGCTAAGGACCAAGACTGGAATGGTGGGAAACAAGCAAGAACAACAGGATTAGGGGAAGAATTGTAAGAAATATAATCTGATGTTTCCTTGTTGTTTCCTTGCAATTTCATTACACTTTCCTTGCAGCTGCAAAGCATAGCAGCCATTTTAGGCTGATTTTTAGGACTTTTCAACTTAAGTAATTTCTAGGAAAGTCACTAGATAGTTGTTTTTAGTTCTTATAATAGGGGTGCAGTTTTTGTTTTGAAAACACACAGAAAAACTTAATACTCAATACATTGAGTTGTTTATAATCTTCTTCTTTCATCTGAAAGTGTTCGTTTGTGCCGGAAGCATTTTTGCTTACCTGAGACTAACAGATTATTGTTATTAACTTGCCTCAGAGACATTAATACTTCGTCTGTTATGCTAGGTACCTCTTGTTGAATGAGAAAGGGGAGAAAGTTGAAGGCCAAGTTGGAGTTGTGAGGACTAATTGCATCGATTGCTTGGATCGGACTAATGTCACACAGGTAATTTTGTTTATGTAATTTTCACAAATTTTTTCTTCTCAATCATGAACCAATTCAGGGTGCAGTTAGGTGATGGATACAAAGAAGATCCATGTCCGTGTCACCATTTTTTTCTTGCAAATTGTGATTGGATACAGAAATTTCCAAAGAAATACATTATTTTCTTCTCTCACTTTTTCCTCAACACAACTAGTACTCTGGAGTCTGGTCCATGCATTAGATGATTTTTTACCTTAACTTGTACATATAAAATAATGTTTAAAATCAGAATTTATATAATGTTAAGTATCGTATATATAAATCTCATCATTATATTGATTGCTTTTACTTAATTCTAGAACAATAATTAAAAATGTATAATACAAATATAGAGCATTTATCATATACATTAATCACTTTTTAAATTGCCATTATCATGTAGATATAATTTATAGTATTATTTTGTCTGGCATAATTTGATCATTATAGAAATTTCAATCATAGATATGTCAACAATATTGAAATTTATGAGTAAAAAATATAAATGTAAATATATAGTATTGACCATATATATCTAATCATTTTTAGTGAATTATTATTACAGAAGTATAATTGATAGATAAATATATATTTTATTTATACAATTTTCTAAAAAAATTGCGTTCCAAAAATTAAGGTAGATGGCAATGTCAATGTCAGAGTGCTTTTAGGGAAATGACAATTTTTATACAAGTAACGGTTGGAACAGAAAATTCAATATTTTCTTATTACAGAAGTCAGACTTTTGTTTTTAATTTGAATTAAGGCGCTCTAACATTACTAAAATCAATGCAGAAAATAATTTTTCGAAGAACAAATGACCTATTTCAGCATTTGAGGGATAAACGGAAAGGAAATGATGTTCTATTGCAACCTTAGTTGTTGAGAATTATTTTTCTTCTGCCCTAGCCAGATGAACCAATAGTTAGGGAAAAGTGTATTATGCTTCTCAATTTATTTTGCTATTAATGCAACACTTGTCCGGTTATATCATATCAAACTACTCTTTCCCATTAAGCATACAAAATTCTCCCAATGACTGTAGACCCTTAGTTTTCTAAAGCCTTATGTAGTACGTCTATTTGTGGTGCAGCATTAGCTTAATATACTGGAGAAATAATTATCAAAATGACATAGTGAAGTATTGAGTCCCAGCTATACTTATAAGTGGAAGTAAGTTAGATGGAGTGCAATCATTGAAAATTCTGACTATCATTATTGAAGAAAATTCTGACTGTGGAAAACATTAAGAAAAGGGACTGTCATTATGTTGGGGAATACATTTTCTCATTGTATCCTTTTCCTTTCTTTGTTCATTTGCTTTCAGAGCATGATTGCTCGTAAAATGCTGGAATTTCAACTCCGAAGGCTTGGTGTTTTTGATGCTGAAGAAACCATCAGTACACATCCTAATTTTGATGATTGCTTCAAAATCCGTAAGTACTTGCCTTTTTTCTTAATTACATAATATGAATTGGATTTAGTACTCTTAAAACCAATATTCACAAAATTTCTGCCTTCATAATTAGTTTTCCCATCGAATTGGAATTCCCAAAGTTTTCAGGGCTATGCTCACCTTTCCATCTCTTTATAACTTTCATTTTCAGTATGGGCTAACCATGGGGATGACATAAGCATCCAATATTCTGGAACTCCTGCATTGAAAGGAGATTTTGTCAGGTACTTTTAAATTAGTCATTTTGTACAGGAACATTCAATTTCCCTGTAGCTACAGGAACAATCTAAATTAGTCATTGAACTCCTTTTAAATTACTACTCATCTTGTTTTATTTAGTATAGGTACCTCTAGTTTAGTTTCTATTATGGGTCATAAGTTGTAACATAGCAGTCATAATTTGTCCGCGGCAGGATTCGCTTAGACATTACATTATTAAGAAAAAGTGTCCCTCTCTCGGAATGAAGACTTTCTACATTGCACTGTAGCAATGGAAAAGAATGATGTTCAATCTAAGTCTCATCCTAATGTAGATTGTTTTATTTTCCTCTTTTGTCATTGTTATTAAGTCTACACCCCTGCTGGGTAACTTGTTCTCCTTCAAACCTTCACAAGGAATTTTCTGCCTCCATAATCACCCTTAACACCAAGTACTTTGACAATGAACCTAAGACCTCCTAAGAAGAACCTCGTAGACAAGAAGGAAAATCCCTCCTATATAAATGCAGAGTTTCCCGATCCTAAGTGTCAACTTGTGATACTTCATAATCCTAGATGTCAACCTCTGGTGCTATAGTCCTAGATGTCATTTCTGGTGCTTCGTTAGTCCATGTTGATTTGGACTTTTATCCATGTCTATCATGACTTTTAAAATTTTAAATACTTGGCCATTTCAAATTGTAAATATATTTTAACACTTAATAACCTTTTCATTTTTTATCAAATTTTTATATATTATATATCAATTTAATTATCTTTTGGCGATTTTTAATTTTCCATCCACGATGGATATATTAAAATATAACATAAAAAATATTTAAAAAACTTAAAATAAGAAATTTTATATTTTAGTCATCACATGTGTAATACACATGTGATGTAATACTAATAGATCTAGAATTAAATCAAAGAGTGAAGAAGCTTGAATCTCAATAATATTTGCTGTGGACAAACTAGTGACCATGGATCTGAGATTCATGTAGTTTTCTGTTGACCACAAAATATTGAATCATCTTATAGAATATCGATTAGTTAGACGTAAATTCAAATCAGAAAATCCTATACAATTGAAGCAAATGGAATTCTTATGCAAAAGAAAAAAACTATCATGCAACCAGTGAATAATAATGCATGCTACCTTAATTTTCTGAGTACAAAGAAACGGATGAAATCATTTACATTAATCACCATCCCAAAGGATATTGTTTGGCGCAAAACTTATGGCACTTCCTACACCAAATGGCTGGTTTGGAGGTTAGGGCAGCTTTTTAGTAGCCTGTCCAGTGTTCTCAAAATACCAACATCCATAGTTACATAAAATTTTCTAGTATTTGGATTGAAGCACATATTCATCAACATCAACATACCCAGTATATTCCCAACAGGTTGGGGTCTGGGGGGTCAGTTGTACGTAGACCTTACCCTTGTAATTATACAAGGAGGCTGTTTCCATAGCGACCCAAGGTGCATTGCGTCGTTTGATATATTTTTTTTCTAGAAACTTCACTAATAGAAGAAACACTAGAATTTAATTGAGCCATTTTGATCTAGTCCATTATTAGCACTATGCCAGGAGAATTGTCAACAATGACTCTTCCTTCCAGCTCCATTTGCAATGGACTTATTACCCTTCAAAAATGCATTTTCAAAACCTAGGGGCTTACATGTTCAAAGGAGTCTTGTTACGTGAACATACACAGTACGAGCTGAAACTCTGTATGTCTAATCTGTTACCAACAAGCTATCTGTAGAATTTTATTTTCTTAAATTTCATACTTTGGAACAGGATGTCGTATTAATTAAGTAATGATAATAAGGAAACTTCAACTTGCAATATATAGGAGATTGCATGTAAACGTAAGGAACCATACTGTTTCTATTATTAAGAATTCAACTGCTTCTTTCTGGTAGCTTTTCTTGGCAGACCTGCTATTTATCCTGCTGCGAAGATATCTGATCTTTGATTGGCCACATATACCTTTTTGCGACACGACTCTCTTTTGAGATATCCAACTTTTCTTTGTGCTTTTAATATTTTGAGTTGCTTACATCATCCGTTTTCTAATCTTGCCACTTTCTGGATTTATCTGTCATAACAAACCTTGTTTTGCTATTATTCTTGGCAGAGTCAAGATTTGTTATTCAGAGACACATGCTTTTTCTTTCTCATTCCATGTGGTTTGAATTTTTTATTACTCTCTTTAATGATAGATTTGGCCAGAGAACAATCCAGGGGATTTTGAAGGATGGCTGGAATGCTCTCATGCGGTACTACTTAAACAATTTCCGTGATGGCACAAAGCAGGTTCCCATGCTTTCCCTCTCCATGACAATGCTTTGGAGTTTATTGAAAATTGCATGATGTTCAACTTTAGTTCCTTGAGAATCTTTTATCATTTATTGATCTATCATTCAATTCCTGTGGATTTTTGTTCTTGATGCTGCTTGGACGTTTATAACCAGAGAGATTTATGCCATTATATTTTAGTTTTATGGTATCTGAACAATAATTCATTTTAGATGTCTTGATTTGTGTCTTATTTTACTGTGTTTACAGTTTGCGTTCCACATCTTTCCTTATTAAGCCTCCCTAATATGCTAAATTATAATGATCCAACATTCATGATTATCTAGTTAATAATTCAACTGATATCCTGATAAGTTTCCCTTCTTTGCTCCCTTTCCTCAAGGACGCAATTGACCTACTACAAGGACACTATATTGTTTCTGTTTCTCGAGGCATAACTCCTACGACACAGAAAGGTGGTGTCGAGGCTATAGCTGTGAGTATCCAGTTGTTAATAGTTTTATATTTTTTGCAATGTTTAATTTTATTTCAGCAAGGTATCCTTAGTGGTTGTGTTAATGCATAAATGCTACTTCTTTTCTGCTAAATAAGAAACAGCCAATGTACCTCAGTTCACTTAATCAGTTAAAAATTGGGCATGTTCAGCGTGTGACAGTATTCAAGTAAATGAGTACAAAGCAATTAAACAGGACAGTTTAGGTAGATATTTCTTAGCCCTTGTTATTTATGTGGCCATACACCAATCGTCTGTAAAACCCAGATTGTTTCAAAAAGTCAATGGTCAGTAAAACCCTTATTGTTTCAAAAAGTCAAAATTCTGCAACCTACGTGCTATCTTTTGCATCCCAATTTTTTCTTGATAAAAGATGGAAACCTCCTTTGTTATTCTTGGACATCGTGATTTTTTTATTGGAATCACATTATTCCGTTTCTGATTTTTTGGCAGTCGTTCCCGCTGGCTTTCTCATTGATCATGATTGGATTGTTCTTTGCAACAATGTCTCTAAAACAAGGTCAGAGGGTTCTTATGGTTGAAAAGTTTTACTTTCTAGCTCTATAATTAATTTTCCATTGGTTTGCTCTGGTTTTACTCATCAACTTAGAAAGTTATGAGAACAGGAGAATGTTGGATTAAGTAGGCTTTCTGTACAATGAACAGATTAAAATGAAATGGACGAGGCATCATAAACCGTACAATAAATCAATCAAGGTTCATCAACTCTATAAACAGATTAAACATATAACGGATTTCTTTCCTTAAAATGAAAATGTCAAAAAGAAATGGCTTTAGATTCATGAATAGTTTCTCTATCCTTTTTCTACTTTACTGAAAAGGTCAATTGACTTACACTTGGATTTTCCAAGACAATGATGGCCTTTTATGTTTCAAATTTTATACACTTGATCCCATATTCATACAAGAGTTGGTTTCAATTTTAGTTTCTTATTGTCAAACTTTTGTCCACAATTGTGTTTGTCATCATCCCTTTTAAACATCACATGCCAATCGGCAATTGTTTTAGCATTCTGCATTTATTAAAACCTGTTTCAACTTGGTATTTACTTTCCACCTTAACATAATACTTCTGACTACCTTCTTTACTTATTCTTTTGTAGTTCGACATGACCTTTGGAATTTACTATTCTCATTCATGTGGGCGAGTATGAGTTTGGCTATAGCAGCATTTGTGAGGGCCAACGGTCGCATTTTTTGTAACCGCCCTCGTCTGCACCAACCTAGGCGTTGATTCTTGTCGGTAAGAAAAATCCAGGCGTGCCGTAGCCCATGAAGCTCTATTCTCAAATTTTTGTAGTGCCTGGTATTCTTTTCTTTACGACCGATAATCATTTACTTGAGCTTATTTCTGTAGCTTCATTTTTGTGACCAAATATTTCCACATTTTGGCTAGGATATATACTGGCTAGTATACATGAACTCTCGATACTATTTTAACTCTCAAATCACAATGTAACTTGTACTGCTGCGATGTTCATTTCTGTGCCTCTATAATCTGCTGTTTCTTGAATAATCCTTTGCTTTTTTTATTGTTCCTTTTAGTCCGAAACATTTCCACATAGATCTTTTGTTGGATCCGAATGGTTACACTAGCAATGCTTGTGCTGCGCTTCAACTTTGCTAGACAGTGATAAAATCATTGTTTGGTGATGAAATGCATCCAAGTACTTAAATCATCTCAGGTGGACGATACATACTTAGCGCGTACTTGGATACAAATATATCTGCTCGAAACGAATTTTTTTTGTTAACCAGAATTTTGAAAATGTTGGTATGGTTTGTTAGTGGTATTTTTTAGTTTAATATTAAAATAATATTTAAAACAAAATAATTAAAGTTGATTTGATGTAAAAGTAGGAAATGGATTGTGTGACGTAATGGTTACTTAAAATTAAGTGAATGAATGGATAGTGAATTAAAATTGATGTGACGTGCAAGAATGATTGTTTGATATGATTAATTATATTGAGGAAAATGCTACATGTACATAATAGTACATAACTCTCACATGGTGTGGGGTCTATTTGATTTTTTATTTTTGGTGGGCCCCACTCAATAAGAGTATTATGTACACCCTTATGTACACTATTATGTACTTATAGCATTACTCTTATATTGATAATTCTGATGATTGTAAGGTTGAGTTAAAATTGAGTTATAGTTTTAATATAAATCGAGTATGTTAGAAAATTTTTTAAGCAAACACTCCCTTAGGTTTCTTAATGTGAAAAGAGGGAATACTGTTGGCCAGACATAAATGTTGAACAATTATAATTTTTTTTTTAGAAAATATGTATTTTTTCATAAACAAGTGTCATATTTAAAAAAACAGTACGAATATGTATTTTTTCATAAACAAGTGTCATATATAAAAAAACAATATAAATAAAAGTATGGTATTTTTAAATATAAAAATGTATTTTTTTT